ATATATATATATAAATTTGAAATAAGCAAATTAGTAAGAGAATTATTAGTGAAGTGTAGGGTTGACAAGTAACGCGTCAATGTTGTAATGGCTGTTACTTTTTGATCGTTATCTTTATTATATTCGGGTTGAAAAAATCATTCTTTACTGAAAATAACTTCTAATTTGTAACGCGTTACTTTTTACTCATTATCTGTAACGAATAACACGTTACGCGTTGCTTATTACTTATTTTAGTAAGAAATGCGTATTGATGACAAGTTATTTTTCAAAGTGGCTTTTCCAACCTTAGTACATCCTTAGCATTTAGTTAGTTAGCATCACCATCATTAAAAATTGCAATGTCATTATCAAATTGTGTATTATAAAAAGTAACGGAAAAGTAACGTCTGCCAACCTTGGTGAAGTGGTATAAAGGAAGAAAGTTACATAGTAAAATCGCACGACTTATAAACAGAAGCAAGTCTACTGTTTATTATATTATGAAAAAATTTAATGTACAAAGTGCAAATAAACCTCATGTGGACGATCAAGAAAGCTGATTGTGAGAGAAGAAAAGACGATCATTATATGGAAAATCAAACAAGATCCTTTCACTTCTGGATCACAATTGGCATTAATGGTGGCTACGTATTTCCAAAAAGAAGTATACAATTATGTTGTCGACAATTATGTTGCAAAATAATGATTTACATGCATGAATTCCAAGGAGAAAACCATTAACAAGAAAAATAAAATTCTATATTTAAAATTTGCTAAAGAATTTATTAACAAAGACAATTCATTTTGAGATACAATATTATTTTCAGACGATTATAATATTTTTGATAGTGATGGACGTAAAAGATGGAGAAAACAAAACATACAATTAGAAGCGAGAACTCTACGGCCATCAATAAAATATAATAGTGGAATCGTAATGATTTAGGGTTGTATGGCGGCTAATAGAGTGGGAAATCTTGTGTTCATCGATGAAATCTTAGGCAAAATGACTACTTAATAATTTTACAAGACAATTTGAAAGACAATGTATTAAAATTAAATTCATCAATAATTATTGTTTCCAGTCGTACAATGATCCGAAGGATCAAGGAAAATTGTCAAAGAATGGGTACTGTATAACGTCCCGCACATATTGCCACATCCACTAAAGTTTTGATTTAAATCTTATCGAGTTTTGTAGAGATGTGAAATGAGTGGAAAGAAGCTTATGAAATACGGCTATTATTCGAAAGAAGTATTAAAACGGGATATTATTGATATATGACAATCAATAGACACAAATGTTACTTTGAAGTTAGTCAATGAAAAATGGCTTTAAGGCTGTAATAAAAGCAAAAGGCGGATCAACTAATTATATATTAAAATTTTGGATTATCTGATTTAAATAACTATTAAACGTATCAAATTACTAATTAAATGAATTTATTAAATGTATCGAATATTTTTATGAGTCATGTATTATATAATGCGTGTTTATAATAAATTTATTATAAAAACTGAATACATCGTTAAATTATTCATATATAACATCGTTATTTTATAATTTTACTTGTAATCTTAAAACCTCTTTATCTCTTTTACATGTCATATTGTTTAAAAGGCTGCAATTTAATGTTTCATTTCATTAAAAATATAAGCATTCTAATACTTTCGTGTATGTGTGTATGTACGTTAGATTGTATAATATACAGATTTTTATATATTTTGTACTGATTACAATTGTTATATTGTAAATCCATGAGCATAATACCATTACAAGTTTGTATGTTTCCATTTATATGTCGATTATAATGTATATAATTTGTTATATGCAATTATTCTACAAAATAAATACGTTTGCTATTCTGTCATTTCTGTCATAACGTCCTATACATTAATCGAAAATATCAAATTTCTTCTTCATGGGTTGTACACGTATATCGGTTACTATTTACTTCTTAAAGGTACTGTTATTTTCTAAATCATATACATATTTTTTTGCAATATATTTTTTGTTTTGTGTCTCATTTTTGTTTATTCCTTTATCCAATATATCCTATATAAAGTTATCAATCCGATACATTCAATACGAAATTATTAGTTATTTATTTTTCCTCTCTGAAACATGCAGTATGTTGTCAACTTTTCCTTCCCCAGCCTCTCCTGTTTGTTTTATTTTTACGCACCTATAACTAAAACAGGAATAAGGCCTGGCTGTGACCTGACAGAGTTAGACACGTGTTGGGACCCAAAACTACCATACCGTAAGCAGGGAAATAAACGGATTTTTGCATCGGGATCTGTGTTGACGGACGCTGCAATGAGAAGGCAAAATCATCCATCTTTAGATAGTACGACCAATAGTTATATACCACATGATTCTAATTTATTTCCTCCGACTGTCACGATACACAAAGGCCGTAAGGATATATTATATATAAATATTATATAAAAATATTTGCAATTATAGTAACTTATGTCATTTATATCACTTTATTTTTTTTTCTTTATTATAAACAGAAATCATGTACCATCCACCTATGGACGAAAGTGTGCTTTATAAAACGCTGAAAAACGAATGCGAACCGTCAGTAATGTTTGCAATTAATCGTAATCTTTACGCATATGTGAAAATAACTAATTGTAAGTATAAATAAATTATGTTACCAATATATCTGTAAGAATCTTATTCATATGATTTGTAGTAAATTGCTGCGTAAACAAGATCTGCTGGAATGTAACATCAAGAGGTCTTGCTTGTATCGGTCAGGATGAAATTATTTTATTAGTTGAAGTTTTGCCAGATGAAACACGGATTCCAAAGGACCTTCTCACATACATTAATCAATTATATCTCGAAGCTATTAAAGGTAATATCTCGTATGTATATATATATGCAGAGCTGGGCAAAATACAGGTCGAAGATGTATTTAAAATACAAGATACAAAATATAGAGAAAATGTGTATTTGAAATACAAAAATAAGATACCCCTCTATTTTAGCGCCGAAGATAAAAATATTCAAAATATCTCAAATACTCAAGATACTTAAAATACCTAAAATACATCAAATATACTCACAATATTTTAAATATTTTAAGATACTTTAAGATTCTTAAAATATTATATACATCTAAAAATTTAAATATGCTTATCTAAAAATGCTTAAAGTATCTTAAGATATATTTTTTCAAGTTAATAGGAGCAATTAAAATACAAAATATAAAACAATAAATATTATAGTTATATTTATATTACATTTTTAACAATGTAGCATTGTAACATATAGCTCTTTAAATATTTGATAATAGAATTGCAGTGACTTATAACGTATAAGTTATAATTAGCATGAGTTTTAAACGCAAACAATTTTAATAATTTTTATTTTATATTGTCAGTACGGTGGTACTGATAATTTTTGGAATGTCTTTGGCTCTTTAGAGTAAAGGACAGAGTAGTATTAAAAAAATTAAACTAAAAAACTGTTTATGTAATACTGCTCAAAGTTAACTCATATAATTATATATAAACAAAAGTAATTCACAAAAAAATTGGCCTGATTCATAAGGTGAATGTCAACGTATGTTAACCATTTTTTATCGGTCGATGCCTCGATAGCCAAAACCTAAGTTGAAATTTGAACTGCATAACCTTGAAATCTTAATAAAAACAATAATGTGTTGGGTTTTTTCATATCTTACTCCTGGTTATACAAAAATTGACATTAAAAAAAAGTAGTTATTTAAATTTTTTATTGTTTACAGAGAAACTTTGTTCAAATATCAATTTTTTTATAATCTCTTACATATACAATAAGGAGTAAGATATAAAAAAAAACGTTCGTGTTTTTACTTTAAGATTTCAAGGTTATACAGTTCAAATTTCAACTCTCTCCGGTGAAAACTTTGTTGGAAGCTTTGGCCATTGAATGATGAAAAATAGTCAAATGTTAACATATCTTGATATTCATCTTATGAATCAAGCCAATTTTTTTTGTTAATTACTTTTGTTGTAGAAATAATTATGAGTTAATTTTGAACTCTATTATACAGATAAATTTGCAATAAAAACATCGATTCTTTTTATGAAATTTGATAAAATTTTCACACTACCCCGCCCTAAAGTTAAAATTTATGATTGTTCAAAGTTTAAATGACATAAGTATTATTTGTTGAAACTAATAACTATTACAATCATTTACTCTTTAATAAAACTAACTTTTCAAACTGATCATCTGAAAGTAAAGCTCGTTTTGGCTGATTTATCATTGCAAATGAAAATAGTCTTCCAACAGCTGCTGAAGATAAATTAGTATTACTTCTAAGAAATAGTTTTTTAACAGTTAATTATGAATTCAACATGTTATAGTCTCTTCTTTTATCGTTGAAAAATTTTAAAACTTCCAATTTTACATGAGTCCCTCTATATTCTTCACAAATAACGCTACTTTCATCATTTTCTACATCTTGGAATTCGCTGAAGTTAAAAAAATCGTCTTGTTCTTGGTTACTAATTGTAGAAACTTCTGCACTAATAGATTTGATCTTCTGAATCTCGTTGATTAATACAATATTTTGAATTCTCTTGATTTCCGCTGGTGATGTAGATGAAGGTAGTTATCGAAGTTTGAAAACTGGATGCGTACATACAGCAATAATCGCCTCCTTTGCTTCCTCAGATAGATCGTAAAAATTCTTAAATCGTCTGTTAAGGGACGAGAGCATGCCTTCCACAAGAGGGTTACAATATTTGAGTGACTTACAAAACACATCTTGTAATCTCTTTTTTAATGAAAATAGCGTTGAGATCAAGTTCCCGTAGAAACTTGAGTGTTCTTTGTCATCTTGAAATCGGTCTAAAGAATTCACTATAGGCATCATAACCATACAATATTCTTCCAGATACTCTAATTCAAAATCTTTAAATTTTGCTGATTCAACTTTTCCTGTAATTCGACTATTTTTTGATTTTTTACTATTTGGATTAGAAAATCAAACAAAGAATTCTATCGTGTCTAGCAAAGGATAGTTCAACTTTTGTCCTAATACTTCTTATATTATTTCAGCTGACTTTGGATGTTCAGATGAATTTCACAGTGCCGTACATTTGGTTAAAGCAGGATAATGAATCACTTTTAAAGTGAAAGAAGCAGTTATAATTTGTTGAACATCTTTTGTTGCAATTAAATTTATTGTGTGGTTTGAACATCGCAAGTGCGGTGGAAGTGACTAAATATTAAATTTGTTTTATCAGCTTCTTACAGCAAATTAAAAGAAATAGATTCTTCTTTGTCACTTTTGTTTTCTCGTTCATCAGTCACGGACCCGTAATCAAACTTTACTCCAAACTCCTTAAAAGCTTTCACAAATTTGTACTGTTATCTGTAACCGTTGACGTAACATTGACATTGTATTCAATTCGAACTTTGAATGAATCTCATAATTCTGCAATTCAATCATAACTATAAGAGCTTTTAAACCGAGTACAAGCAAATACAACTGATTCTCGTTTGAAGTTATCTTCCTGTATTCAGTGTGCCGTGATTTCTAGAAAGCTTCTTGTTTTCATCGACCAAATATCGGCGGTTTTACATATATATATTTCTGCTCCTTGAGAAGAATTTTAGTATTACTTATTTTCTCTGTAAACTTTGCCTCGATACGACGCCCGAGCGATCTTCGTGATATAACGTTGGCACCATATCCTTCAAACATTTTAATGAAATGTTCTTCTTCAACGGTTGACAAATGAATGAATTCCATTTACTATGAATGCAGTTACTCGTTCGATTTGCTCTTGATAACATTTTTTCCAGAAATGTGAAGCTTACTTTGCGACAAACCTGTAGTTTTAGTCGTCACAGATGAGTTAACCATTGTATGTTTTTTTCTTATTAGAGTATCTGCCTTACTTCTTTTTTGCTTGAAAACATCTTTGTAAGTCACATATTCCTTGATACACATTCCGCATGAACTTTCTAAAAAAAGATGTAATACTCAGATACTTTCGAGAAAAATAAAAATTTCGTTTGATAACATGACAATACATGATACAAATCTAACATGTTTTGCCATATAAAACGCTTAAAAAATGATATTATCAAAATGTCGATATTTCTAAAACTTTTTTTTATAAGTATCGTATTTTCTATGCATAAAAATCATTTGGAAAACGTACAATATTGTACAATTGATATGAAAAAAACATTAATTTTGAAATATTTCATAAAAATGAAAGCCGTTAGACATTATGTTTATGCATACAATTTATAACTTTAATTATATATGTAAGGTGTATTTAAACTATGGATTTAAATCTCCTGATTCAATTTCACGCTACGTTATAACTAGTAAGATACTGAGTAAAATGTATTGGAGTATTTGGTATTGGTATTGGAAATCTTGATATGATTGAAATTATAGCAGCAAAAAGATCATATATCTTAAATAAATGGAAATAAATGGAGATTACAATACGAGGAACGGATCATTGACTAAAAAAATCTGACGTATCCTTATAAAAATCCTTGTATAAATCTAACAAAATTTGTATTTACGAAAGCAGGATCTGATGCATAGTTTTTGAAAAATAAATTCAAAAGGAATGTTTTAATTATTCAATTTTTGTAATATTTTGAAGATTCTTTTAAAGATAATAAATTATATTCATTATTTTAAAAGTGTGACGCTAGGCACATAGACAACAAGTACAGAAGTCAAAATTTAAAACCAAAAAAAAAAAGCAAAAATACCAAACTTCAGAATGTTTTATCGAAATGTAGTACAAATGTACAAATAACACAACAAATAAAATGATACATGTTTAGATTTTAATATGTTAACCTTGAGATGTATCAGAAAGTTTGTAGTGGAATCGATGCTTCCACGAATAGTTAGTTTTCAATGGCTTGCAATATTAACATTTAGCTTGTATCAATCCATTGGCATCTACTGAAGTCACTCGAAAAAAATTTTCTAGCAGTAGACAATTTACTTTTTTTTTCTCAATGGCATTTGTTTCGTCATTGTCATTGATGTTTTCTTTATCTTCGGGCTGAATGTTGGCCATTTTACTGTTTACGAGACTATTGAACTTATTCATGACGAGACCGCAAAAGATTTTTTTTATTGCGATTACAAATTGCCGTTTCTAAACCGCGGTCCAAGTGTGCAGCCAATTGCACGGAAATCAGTCATAAAACTGATAAGATAATAAAGGTATAAGCACGACGAGTGGCAAACAGTAAAGTCACTAGATCTATAAAGTACCGCAATCGATTTCAGAATATCGATCATGAAACTTTTTCCCTAGGATGGAAAGTGAAAAGTGAAAATTTTTACTATTGAAGTTAATGAAGAAAATTTTCACTTTTCACTTTCCATCCTAAGAAAAAAGTTTCATGATCGATACGCAGAAATATTGCATCAAAATGGCTGAAGTGCACATAGTACACGATTTGAAGTACACTAACGTACACATTAAGTCAATTGGATTCTTTGTATTCTTCATGCACTTTTATGCACAAAACTTCTACATTACAACAAATAAATCTGTATTAAACTAAAGAACACATAAATTAAGCATTCGTACATATTCCTTTAGTTATAAATAAACTAATTACAATTCAACAACATTATATTAATAATTTTTATTTATTATAGGCCCGTACCTAGTGAATTTGCTCACATTTGTCATTTTCACCAAGTTGTGTGATCCGTAGTAGACTCCCAGATTGCGATTAGCGACAAACGACACATGAAAAGAGAAGAAATAAATCGCGTTTTTCATTTGCTTTTTTACTTTCCGCCACTCGTCGCTAATCATTCATAGTTTAAGTGAGCCTTAAATGTGGAAATGCAGAGAATAGGGAATTACTAGATTACTTTTATTTTTTTTTCTCCTTTTTTTTGATATGCCGAAATAAGACACAAAATGAGTATCTTGTGTATTTTAAATTCTATACTCAAGATACAAAATACAATAAAAAATGTATTTGAAATACAAGATACAAGATACATTTGTATTCCAAATACTTGTGTATTCTGGAATACTGCCCAGGTCTGTATATATGTCACTTGACATATATATATATATATATATATATATATATATATATATATATATACTATAATATATGTATATAAAAGCTATGTTCGAGGAGACGCTATTAGTGCTATTTGAGTCATTCTATTTTTATCGTTTATCAGACGTAAAACAAAAATGACACAAATAACGTTAAATAGTATTTTGTCGAACGCATCTATAAGTAAATATCTTGATAACAGTAATATTCATATTTGTATTGCAACTAATTGTTTCGAGTTTGCTTTGCTAGGTAATACAGTGACGGAACTCGGCTTCTCAGTATATCAAAGTACCAACCTATTATTAGGTTCACGCGAGCATGTGGGATTTCTTTTTATTCGTCAGACATTGCAATGCTTACAAAAGATTATTTTACCACCTGCACCTTTCTTGATTGGTCTGTTGGTTCACAGGTAAATATAACAGTTTCGCAATTAAGTATTGGAATTTATATTTTATCCAAATGTGATTTTATATTGTATATGTGTGTCTATTATGTCTTGAATATTTTTTTGATAACAAAACTAAACGGGCAGGTGTAAATCATACATGATTAATGAAGTGCAATTAATAATATATTTGTGTTATAAAGATTATATTTATTTATACATTTTTTTATTTTGGTTCTTCTCTGGACCATCTTCAGTAAATTTTGATAAATTATAAGGTATTCTAAACTTCAACTTGGAAAAGGTAAAATATATTATTGGCAAATAAATGTGTATTGTGCACTTGAATATAAAACAAGAACAAAATATCCAACCAGAGTAAAGAATTAAAAAAAATGTTATATTATACATCTGTGTGTGTGTGCTAATGATATGTTCTATCTTTTCCAAGTTAGAGTTTCGAATACCTTCTTATAATTTATCATTGACAACACTCTCTAAGGATGGCTCGGAGAAGAACCGAAATGTCTGAACAATGTGGATGTAATTTTTTACATATATATATTGTTAATTGCACTTCATTAACCATGTCTATCATCTTGCTTTCTTGTTAGAATTAGCGAGAATCTGTAAACTATTATTGTTTTTTGACATTATACAGGGTATATAAAAAGTGTCGGAACGCATTATCTATGATGTTTAATTAATAATTTAAAAAAATAATAATAAAGTATACGGGCAATGAGAGCGTTAATATAGCGCGAAAGTTAGTGCGCAAAATTCATATAAAATTCATATAATATTCACATAATATATAAATCTACTATGACTGTCGATACAAATTTCTTAGACGTTTCGGTTTACTTCAAACCATTATTAGCAAATTGTAATAATTTTCATCGATGTTTTTACAAAAGTCCGCAAATGTTGGAAATATGTTGAAATGAGACCGAGAATGAACATATCCTTATTGTCGGTTGAGAGTTGCAAAAATTATTTCCTCGTTGTTTAACAAAATGACTTTGTCCTCATAGATCACAATGAATTATTCCAAGCATAGTACGTCAATTTACAAAATAGGAAGATTACAAGAATTAAAAATTTTGTTAAACATTGAGTATAAAATATACAAAAATATAAAAATATAAGAATTTATTTTTCATAGAAATTATCGAAGAAAAGAGACATGGATCTTTCTCTCATTGCATTGTCTATTGCGTCTGATACATATTTTAATAATTTTTTGACTCTTTAACTACAATCATGAAAGACACTAGTTTACAATCATACATCTCTCTCTCGACATTCTTTTGTACATTTCAACCAACAAGACGTAGATTCATTTTAATTATTAATACCAACGGTTATATAGTTAGACAATGCGAAGTATATTTTTATTTTTCATCGATCGATCATATGTTACGTTTTTATCGTTTTAATAAATTTTGTAAACATTGATAATGATTCGATTGTGATTGAAACATCTGTTAGCCGGCGTTCTGTTTTATTAAAGTTCATAATAATTAAATAAGACTTTACTTATCAATCTTCCTATATTTCTGGCTCGTCTTCTTTTTTAAAAATATAACTCGTTTAAAAATATAAAATGTAAGTATACAATAAGGGCTTTTCAAGTCTAGCAAGGTAATGTATGCTATAATTAAATTATTTTATTATCCTTTATATAAACAATACTTCAAACAATATTTCGATCTTTTTCAATGATCCTCTTCAGTGAATGTTACAAAAATTTATATATTATTGTGTTACATATTTCATAAGCTTATAGTGAACTTAATTATATAATGGTTCTGATGTTTATGAACTCAATATAAATTGTTTTAGTACGATTTTTGACAAAATTTACAATATTTTTCGGTAGAGGCAACATTCGAGAATTATGATTGGATGACCATGTACATAATGATTATCATTGTGACATGAACATTATTGTACTATAAAAATATAATATAAAATAATTGTAATATGTAATTTAATTAAACCATATAAATATAATATAAAATAATATATTGTAATAATAATTTGTTACCTAAACTCTTCGATTTATCGGTTCTTCTATCAAAAATTGTCGTGTGACATTCCGTAAACAATTACTTCACATTGAATATATATATTGTGTTATAATGTCTAACATGTATAAAGTGGTGGGGAATATGTCTAAGTGAGGGACAATTTTAAAACGGGAAGATAACTATCTGGTAATAACTCATGTCGTTTTGCCTATTCAATTCTACTGTCTGCTTTTTTATATGTATTCTTTCAGACACCGTTCTTTTCATATGTGCGGACTCATTATCTAATATGTGGACATTATCCTAGTCGAATTTATGTTGTTCGGTCATTCTATGTTCTGATATAACTGACGGAGAGCGACTTTTTTAATTTATATTTTTATATCTCTTTAAGGGGATCCTAAAGCCATCTGTATTACCGATACTGACTAAATCATGTAATTTTTGTATAATAAATGCTTTTTTCTTTTTTACAGATACGTATTTTATAGTACATGTATTAATGCGTATATCTTAATTCTGGAAAAACCTTTTCTAGGATTAAGGTATATGCATTAATACGTGTTTGTGATGTGAAAGCCGAGAAAAATCAAAAATTTCGAAATTGATATATTTTTTACCATTTCTTACATTAGTATAACATGACGTCTCAAATTGTGACAACATTTGCTTAATACGAAAGTTTTGTAACCTGTACTTACAAAATAATAATTCACAAACATGTAGTTTGCACGAAATAACGTCGTTTTTAGAATTAGACTTAGACGCTTTATCGCGACGAATTTGTTATACGAAAATTGACACGAATGTGCGACTGCGTGTATCATATGTTGCATGAAATATTGGTGTGGTAGTATATAAAAACATGTTGATGCGCGGCGCGCGGTCATCTCTGGTGACTTTGTCGGAGTTCGAGCTTTCCTTTAGGATCCCCTTAATTCTTGTTTCCAATTGTCTTTTTGTCTGTTCCACGTATATCGATTCATAGTCAAGACAGTCAAGACAGTCAAGACAGTCAAGACAGTCAATTTCATAAACTACATCACATCTAGACATTTTATTTAATATATTTTTCCCTGATTTTATAAAGTTATTCAATTTTCTGGGGATAGTGAATGATGTACGATAGTTCATTTTATTAGCAATAGTAATAAATTTATTCGATATTTGTTCGACATAAGGTATAGTAAAGAATTTTTGATAAAGTAATATATCATTTGTTTTATTAATGCTATTAATGTTATTATTCTTGTTAATGTGATATTTAATTATATTATTAATCGTCTTAAATATAAAACTTAATGGATAGTAATTTAATGGTAAAATATTAATTATTTGTCTGATGTTATTTGCTTGAAATTTGGATGTACTATTGTCATTATTTTATCTATCATTCCTATGATGATGCCATTTTTATGTGCTATTGAGTGATGTGAATATAAATTTAAATATATGTTGGACGCTGTGTCTTTTTTAAAAGTATCAGATATAATATGTTCTTTATCCCTAATTTAACGTCTAGAAAATTTAATTGTTTGTCATGTTTTATCTCCACTGTAAACTGTAACCGTTCATGTATTGAATTAAAAGTCATTAATGTTTCATCCACATATCAGGAACAGTCATTAAAATATCGTCTACATATCTATAAAAAAACACCTCAAATGAAAATTTATTTAAGGCCAATGTTTCTACATAACAATATCAGATATTATTATGGGCGATATAGGAGATCCCATAGGTCATAAATCTGTTTATAGTATACATCATTAAAAGTAAAATACTCGTAAGTTGAGTGTAATATCAAGTTTATACCTGTTTTAAATTCGTCCAATGATATTTTTGTATTATTATTAATATGATGTCATCTATTTTCAATGCTTCTTATTGCTAGTTCTAATGTGATTTCAGATGTATACAATTAAAAAGTTCTTTGAATTAACAGAATTAGTAGGAATATAAAAAGAGAACTACCATTTAACTTATATAGAGGTTTCTTTTACACACAATATGCGTCTCTTAACAGAATGCGTTATCGAAAACAAGAGGTTGTATCAAAAAAATAAGTTGGTTAAAGTCAAAATCGAATCAATTATCGGACTTAGTCTAGACTTCAATTCATATAAAATATTATTGTATTGTTGAAAACAAACAACAAAATAGCAGTTTAATTTCGATCATTGACAATTCTAACTGAAAAGTTCATAAATTCTCTTTAGAGAAACCAATTACAAATACAGAGTTAAATATATATGAAATTAATGTAACCTCTTCTAAATTTGATCAATTGACGTTCGAATTTTCGACGCCCAATGAAAAATGGTTTATCAATCTGACGAGTTATAACATACCTATCGAAGTTCAATGCCTTTTACAATTAGGTGAAAGATTTTGTGTTCCATCTCGGAATGCGTAATCTATAATTATTGAATAAATCAAACATATTGAAAATAACTTAAACAAATAAAAAATAAATGATAAATTAATTGCTAGAAATTAGATACTTCCATTATTGTTACAAATCAAATTTTTATCAAATTTTTATTGTACAAATCAAAACGATAGTTAAAAATGAATCAAAACCTTACAATTATATTTTGTCGGGTTTATTCAAGACCAAGGAATTTGTGAGAGACAATCCATAAATTTTTTTCACACGAGCAGATAAGAGTTGTAACAATAGATAGTACAGATTACTTGAACAGAATAGAAATTTTATTATCTAATAGCATCTATATTGAAATAAATTCGATAAATAAAATGTTAACTAAATTAAAATTATTGTTAAAAGTATGGAAGCAACATGAATATGTATCACAATTCACTTACAATTTCCTAAATTCCATTCCACAAATGCAATTTTACCGAGAGCATACCAAAAATCTATAAATCGAATAATCCTCTACGTATCATTGGGTTGACTATAGGGAACCCGCTTCTCAACTTAACCAAATTCTTACATAAGATTTTAGAATTTAGTTTAAAAAAATGGACA